GTTAGTATGATTTGGATTTAGAAGACTTGTTCTATTGATGAACTAAACCCTGGAACTGCAAAGAAAGAAAGAAAGAAAGAAAGAAAGAAAGAAAGAAAAAGTAAGAAAGAAAGAAAGAAAGAAAGAAAAAGAATTGAACTGAAGATTTCAGACTATGGACTGGATTGTGTTCTGTCCATTACTTGTGATACATATTGTTTACTATTGTTATTTTAAGATTCTAAGCTGTATTAGAGAAACCAGGCTTAAAATGTTACAGGACAGAATAAATAATAAAAATCATTTTTTTTGGTCAAGAACAAAACAATGTTGAGTATTATATTTAAAAAATACAAATAAAAAAATACAAATAAATACATAACTTTATGATTTAAAAGGCTGGTGTGCTGTTTGTTACATCTACACTGGAGGTGTTACGCAGGTGTCTGTTTGCAGGAAGACGGTAAATAGAGGAAAATATGATGCAATAGAGCATGGATCTTACGTAACATATACTTAACCACCACAATTCACTAAAATGAATTGAATTCTTGACACGAATCTGTGAAACTGATCTGTGCCTCATTATAAGTTGTCATCATTGTCATAATTTAACAGTCGCTTGCTATACAAAGAACCTAAAATGTTCACCCTAGTATTTGTGCACTCGTCATGTGCTGCAAACACGTGAATCAGTCCTGGATTCTGAGTCGTACAAACCACAGAAACAGAGGTATAAACAACCTGTGGTTCGACAACTATCGAGATAGAAAAAACTGTCTGTGGTGATAGTGAATATTTTTTCGTTTGAAATCTGATCCGATATGACTTGCGGTGTTTACTGAAAGATAATCAGATACAAATGGGGAGGGAGGATGGGGAAAGTGAATGTGTAGAGATTTCACAAACACAAATCTCTATTCAACAAACATTTTCTTTCTTTTTTTTTCATGCAACTGTGCATTTTTAGCACCAAAAATTATCGTGGTACCAACGTGTCGTAACATTTTTACCACCTGATACCAACTCTTTACCATGGTACTACCACAGAACTTTTTTGTATTGGAGTGCACTATGCTATCATGTTTTTGTGCTGAGTGGGTGTTCAAACATACTTGAAAAACAAGTGCTGTTTTAATTATTTTTAATGCCTCTGATTTGACACCAGATTTTCAGGAAGCTCTACATGAAAAGATCAAGCATCACAACCGGAGAGGGGAAAAAAACAGGTTTCAGTGGTTTTTAAGATCAAACCATGCAAGTGAGGATGTCAGTTTTACGTTATATTCATACCACATCTTACAGCCAAAAAAAGAGACATCAGTCGCAGAAACTTTCCCCACAATACCTCGCCAAATGTCTTTAATGTTGTCTATATCTGACATATATCATCTGTTTTTATCCAAACATGCTTCAACTGCAATCCATTTCAAAAGACACAATGATACATTTGGCAGATTCTTTCATCCAAAGTGAACAACGTTGCTTTGAAGGTACATATCATCAGTTCATGCATTCCCTGGGAACCGAACGTTGTTGGCACTGCTATAGCACAATGCTCTACAGTAGGGGTATTCAGTTAAAGTTTCAAGAGGTCCGGCCTCTCTTTTTGGAATAGTTATAAATTTCCATCTGGGCAGCAGATGTTCTTTGTAAAAGAAAGAAAGAAAGAAAAACTAAACAGTCAAAATAGTCATCAAAGATGAGGAGCCAAAGCAGTGGTGGCTGAGGATTCTTCTACAAAAATAAATAAAATTATGTATATATATATATAAATATATATACATACATCATTAGATGAGCCCACTTGGATATGAATATTAAAAGATAAGATTAGATGTTTTATCAGGCAATTATCATTTTGACATTTTGTAAGGTAGAGGACTGTGACATTAAAGGTACTGTATGGTGGTTCAGGGTTTTCCTCTTGAAGTCTGGACCATTTTTATATTTTGCTTAAAATAGGCCTAAGTATCCACTAAAAACTAACAAACAATGTAATTAATCTAAACGCTCTCATCATGAAATCAAAGTTAACTAGTAATTTCAAAGTTTAATTGTCTTTCCTTGCCATCTACAAATATTTCCCCCAATTTTAAGTGTTTATGAAATGCCCTTAACATGCAGATTAATAATGCTAAATGTAAATAAAAAAAAACTTCTTGTCACAAGCCTGTTTTTTTTAAATGGTTAGAATCATATAACAGATAAAAAAAATAATAACTGCATTTGCTGCATTCTCGTTTTCTGCAGTGTTTTAGTGAAAGTACCCATCTGTTTTGCTGCTCACCATGTTTCTGCTATAACCGCATCATCTGCAGAAAGAAGTTATGCGCATTGCGCACGGAGCAGAATTTTCATTCAAATGAAGCGCGTTTGGCTCTAGATAAAAATATTAGAGGGTATTACACTGAAGGATCATTACCATAAACCAGGGATCACCAATGACTTTACCGATTAGCGATTGGCTCTTTTATTCAGAAGGCGGGGCTTCCTTTGATAGAGCAGCCATATTGAGCGTTGCATTTTTCTATATATATTATTATTTTCTCTCTCTCTCTATATATATACAGTGGGTACGGAAAGTATTCAGACCCCCTTAAATTTTTCACTCTTTGTTATATTGCAGCCATTTGCTAAAATCATTTAAGTTAATTTTTTTTCCTCATTAATGTACACACAGCACCCCATATTGACAGAAAAACACAGAATTGTTGACATTTTTGCAGATTTATTATAACTTAAATAACTTTAGCAAGTGGCTGCAATATAACAAAGAGTGAAAAATTTAAGGGGGTCTGAATACTTTCCGTACCCACTGTATATTCATAACTATATATATATATTCATAACTATATATATATATTCATAACTATACTTGGGGATTCTATAGTCTTTGCTTCAGCTGCTTCCATTTCTTCTGCAGTGGAAAGATCAATTTTGCTGATGCTGCTTTCATTTGATTGGTAACAACAACCCTAAGTGACGTGACGTGGCCAAGTAGGTTGGAGAGAGCGCTGTACATTCACTCCCCCCACCTACAACCCCTGCCAGTACGAGACTCGAACCCGCAACCTTTGGGATTGATCTTGGTCTTGCTTACATGATCTTGGAAAGCAATTTGACTACATTATAGTAAACATTTTCCAGCAGAGAAGCTAATCCAGCACAAATTAGTGCATTAAAAGTCACCAAAATTAAGTATTTGAACCTCATAATTAAATACAAATGAGGGGGGAAAACTGCAAAAAGGTCCACTCTTTCAAAAAAAAGAACCCCCAGGCTGGCTACAGGCCTGTAAATTGATATATTTTTTCATTTTTCAAATGATATTAACAACGACCAAGGCCATGGGTCATTTTTTGAGTGTTTATAAATCAAGTTATTAATCAGTATTTAACCTCATATATTTTAGTTGATTGAATAAAATTATCATACAGTAGTCAACATTTGAAGTGGATCAAAAAAAGTTCATCAACGCTGTCCTAAGACAAGAACAGGTATGGTTTTAGGACAACTTTGATGAAAGGTTTTGATCCACTTTAAATGTTGACTACTGTATACTATTAGTAGACATTAATATCATGAAGGTCATCAAGGGCTCTCGGTGATGGGACCAACTCATACTCAGAGCACTGATATTATTTTCTGTCTGTACGTTAAAGAATAAAGTGATTATGGTCTGAGCTTCTCTTCTTCTCTCTCTCTCTGAGAAGCTGCACTCATTGTCTGTGTGTTTTGGGAACACTACCTGATAGGAGTAAGAGCCTAGCTACTCAACCTTGAAGTAGATAAGGGTTTCTCTATGTATGTGTGTTGGTATCCGTCTGTGCAGTACCAGTCTCCAAGGGCAATCTTAACAGCACCCAGGGTGGAAGGCTCATCTGGACCTCTTCTGTCACCCTGATGCACTGGTTGGCAGACATAAGTCTTGGGAGTGAAACGTTGCGTGTGACCTCTAATTGCGTGTCATCTAAACAAACCTTCGGAGATATGTTTTGGACTTTATTATCTGTTAAGATTTTACATGTTTTTCCACAATTTAACCAATCAGAATCCTTTTTACCTAAGTAATGACGTATTTATTGACCTCTGTTAGAGTATAATTACTGATGTATTGAGAATGTACACAGAGCAGCTAACAAACTCCTCTCGAGTATTGAAGCGGACTTCTGCTGATGAAACTGCAAACTATTTTCTTCAGTAAATTTTTCTTCAATTGATAGTATCTTTGACTCCTGGTCTCCATTCATCTTATCTGGTCCTTTTGTCTTAAACTGTAACTATGACTATAACTAAATCCCCTACAGTTCACAACAGTGTAACCAGTAACAAGTTTAATTTTTTTTAAGGTCTGGCTCTATGTAGCAAATTGAATATTTGGTTAAATACACCATTGCTTCAATGTACTTAGCTATGTTTTATACATGTGGCTAACCGATTTTTCAAAGCATAGCTGTATTTGAAGTACTTCAAATTATATAAAATATACGTTTGTGTTAAAAAACAAATACAACTTTCTCAGTTATTGGACACTCTAATTTCCAGGTATACAGTACATTAAAAAAATGTAGGATCAGCAGGATCTTTATTTAAGTCCTATAATGAGGACCTGAAAATAAACTCTTCCTGAGAATGACAAAAGTTATTTATAGCAGTGGTATTTAAACCTTTTTGAGTAAATTAACCGTCGTGAACTCTAAGGAGCAACTTAACGGTGAGAGCTTCATTCAGTTATCAAGTGCCAAACAACACTGTTCTCTAATATTTGACACCTTACCAGGTGGCAGCTTATATTTTCTATCAGCTGGTGCAAAGTCAGTTTTAGACACTACATCTGACTCGTGATATAATCGGCACAGAAAGTAAGACATTTAGCAGCTGAGTGTGAATAGGAGGGTGATGTGAATACAGAGGCTCATGTGTGGATATATATGTATAGACAAGAGTGTGTGGGTGTTGTGACAACACTTCTCTGAAGGTGCGAATGTTTATTTGCTGCGGTTTCCAAAATTGCAGGCTCATTTGGACACACCCTTGAACTCAATTTCCTTCAGCAGCTTATGCAGTTGTTTGTCGAGAAAGTTCTGCTCCGTCCATTTCACTGCAGGGCGAAACGAGAAGGAAGAACAAGCGAGATGTGGCCATTTAAAACACTTCCTATAATTATGTGTGTGTACACTGTATATAAATATGGATATGGATATTTTCTATTTCTAAGTCTTCTAGTTCAGATATCCAACTACATTTCTGTTATTTTGTGGTTGCCAGGGCCGGAGTGGGACTCATTTTCAGCCCTGGAGTTTCGTGCCTTAGACCTTCCCACTTTGTTTTTTTAATGTTTTTTTGTTGTACTGGCTTTTTCCCTTTTCAGTGCCACCTTTGCACTTTCTATTATCCTTTTTTATCTATTATTTTTTGCTCGCATATCTCCAACAACTAAGGTCAAAAGATAATTACATCATCATTAGGGTTGCCAATTAACTTCAGAAATAGAAAATAAGGGACGATTGTGATTCTTTATATTTTATTCTTTAAGAAAATAAGGGACGCTCCAAATATTTGTACTATACCATAATGCTATGTCTGCCTGCAGTTAAAAGGTTCTCAGAAATATTGCTTAACCTATTTATGTACAATTAGGCTATTCTAAAAATAATTTTAATGTCATACAAAAAATGTCATCGCCCTGAGTAAATTGTACAATTATAGAATTGTGACTTCACAAGTGTAACGTTAGTAATTTAGGAGGTGAAAATGCTGCGATATTACAAATGGCATGACATTTGAAAGCACAACAACTGAAAGTCTATGAAACGTTAGACAATAAAGCATTAAACAATGCCACTTAAAGTTTTGAACTCAAATAATATTGCAACCATATAGCCTTTGAACGAATGAAAATGCATATTTTTCAATTAAAGAAAACTTACGAGAGTGTAGGCTTAAATAATGAGGTCCAAGTTTAAGAATACGCTAAAAGTTTTTTTCTCTCTCTCCATTTAAAGCAGCACTATGTAACTTTTTCTGTTCAAAATTAGCAAAATGTATATAATGAGCGAGTACATCATGAATTCATCTTCCAAACTGCGCTTTTTGTCTTATTCCAAATCACTACGGTACACTTATAATAAGTACTTATATTTGGACTACTGTAGCCTGGTCGGGTCGTCACCGCTGCAGAGTAACACATACCTGCGTGAATCGCCATAGACATAAACTTAGAGAAGTAGCTCCGGTTGGAATGTTCTTCCAAGGGATGTGTGCAGTTCTGTTTATTAACCGCTAGAGCACCAAAAATTACATAGTGCTGCTTTAACAGCATTAACTTACAATGAAAAACGTCAGGTAGATTGAATGTTTTCCTGCCTTGCTGGATGTTGGGCTCATGATCAATAAGTTGTCTACATTCACCCAAACTGATCAAAAATCTAAATCAAAAAGCAGACGGTGAAGGGAATTGCCATTAGAACGAGTCCCGCTCGCTGTGAAGCGGGAGCAGCAGAGGATTCCGCTTGGTCTTAAAGCCTTCTCTTAAACGGCTACTTCACAAATAAAACAATGATTTGTGCAAAAAGAATGATTAATTATCAATCGAGAATTTGTTATTGATATGGTCTAGTGAAAATAGTAATATGGGCTGCGAGAAAACAATAAATAAAAAGAGTGGCGCTGCTGTGAGTGCAGGCAGTCTAGGGAGAACAGCATCCATATTTCAACCCAATGGAACGACAACACCGGCCCTTGTGGCCAAAAAAGCAGACCGGCCCACCGGGAATCTTCCCCGTGCATCCGATAAGCCAATCCGGGCCTAGTGGTTGCTATAGTATTCGTGAAGATGTATGTATATATGAAGTATAGATGAAGATGCTTTCAGGAAGGGGGACAATGTCTTGTATAAACAGGCCAAATAAACACTGGAAAAGGAGATCAGAGAGGCAAAGAGGAATTATTCTGAAAAACTAAGGACTCAGTTCACTTCCAGCGACTCAGCATCAGTGTGGAAAAGTCTGAAAGAGATCACCAACTACAAGACACCATCCCCCAGCACTGTGGAGAATCAACAACCGGCAGACGATCTGAATGAGTTCTACTGCAGGTTTGAAAAAACACCCCACACCCGCCCTGAACACCTCTCCACACAACCATTCACACCTCCTGCAGCCCCCCTCTCCCCCACACCTGCACCTCAAAACAGTGAAGACGAGGTGCACCAGGTCTTCCGGAAGCAGAAAATGAAAAAAGCACCAGGCCCAGATTGTGTGACACCAGCCTGTCTGAAAACCTGTGCTGACCAGCTGGCCCCCATCTTCACACAGATCTTCAACAGATCACTGGAGCTGTGCGAAGTCCCTTCATGCTTCAATGCTCCACCATCATCCCCATCCCAAAGAAATCCAAAATTATAGGACTAAATGACTACAAGCCTGTGGCTCTAACGTCTGTCGTCATTTGAAAAACTGGTGCTGGCCCACCTGAAGGACGTTACTGGACCCTTGCTGGAACCTCTTCAGTTTGCCTACAGAGCAAACAGGTCAGTGGATGATGCAGTCAACATGGGACTGCATTATGTTCTGCAACATCTAGACCAGGGTTTCTCAAATCTTGCCCTGGAGGTCCAATGCGCTGCAGAGTTTAGCTCCAACCCTGATCAAACTCACCTACCTGTGATTTTCTAATGATCCTGAAGACACTGATTAGTATGCTCAGGTGTGTTTGATTAGGGTTAGAGCTAAACTCTGCAGGAAAGTGGATCTCGTGGGCCAGATTTGAGGATCCCAGATATAGAAAGACCAGGGACTTATGTGAGGATCCTGTTTGTGTACTTCAGCTCAGCTTTTAACACTTTCATCCCAAACCTCCTCCTATGTTGAGATAGTGAATTGGTGGGTTTTTGTTAAATGCGAGTCAAAATCATCACAATTAAAAGAACCAAAGACTTAAACTACTTCAGTCTCTGTGCATTGAATTTATTTAATACACGAGTTTCACAATTTGAGTTGAATTACTGAAATAAATGAACTTTTCCACGACATTCTAATTTATTGAGATGCACCTGTATTTCCAGGAAATCCCTTATATGGACAAAGGCATCTAGCTGCCACTGTAGCTGAATAAAATGCAGAAAGAAATGTTTTGTATGATGAAATATGATGAGAATCAGCACACGATTACAACAGTATATGGTTGATCTGTGTTCTTCAAGCCATCTTCATATGGATAATGTAATATTTATGTTGCAATGCTAATCGACATAGCCTTTATCACTGTATAGAATACTATAAAAAAAATCACTTCACAGAAGGAAGTTATTTGAAACAATCGTTTTATTCTCATAAACTATCTTACTTTGACACTGATAAAACTAAAAATGGTTAGCATTTTAGACTTCTGTTTAGTGTAATTGTTCCTTTTGTATACAATGATGTGATTCATTGGTCAGAAAAAGGATAAATAAGGATTATTTTGACTGATAACATGGTTTATTTATTATTATTATTATTTAAGAATCAACCCCCTTTAAAATAATCACCACGATAATCGTGTAGTGAAAAATCTGATATCATGACAGCTCTAAAATTATATATATATATATATATATACATACATACACACATACAGTACCTTCCACTAATATTGGCGCCCTTGGTAAATATGAGCAAAGGTGGCTGTGAAAATAAATCTGCATCATTTATCTTTTTGATCTTTCATTAAAAAAATTCACAAACTTCTAACCTTTCATTGAAGTAAAATAATGGAAAGTGGAGGAAAATCTCATCATGAAATAAATGCTTTTAAAAAAACGTTGGCAACCAATTATTACAATTATATTGCAATGTCTTTTCCCCAAGATAACAGCCTATTATAAGATTTCTAACAGAGGCAGTCAGGTTTAGATTTTTTTATCTGTTGGTATTTGATAGAATCCATGATGCCATGTCATCAAGATCAAGAAGTCCAGGACCACAACATGTGGTGATGTAGGGGCTGTTTGGAATTTTTTTTTTTGGCTTTCTGACCCCAAGACTCTACTAATCTCTGCTATTCCCCAGCTGTGATCCTTGGAGATTCTTTGGCCACTCAAACTCTCCTCCCCACCGTGCATTAGGACGATATAGACACACATCTTCTTCCAGGCAGATTTGTAACATCTTTAGTTGATTGGAACTTCTTAATTATTGCCCTGTTGGTGGAAATGGGGATTTTCAATGCTTTAGCTGTTTTCTTATAGCTACTTTCTATTTTGTGAAGCTCAACAATCTTGTTCTGCACATCAGAACTATTCTTTGGTTTTACTCCTTATGATGGATGATGAAGGGAATTTGGCCTTTGTGTTTCCTGTAGAACAGGAAGTCTGTCAGTCCTGTGTCTCGTGTTCTCCTCCCCCACATGCTCCATGACCCGGTTTTCCATCATGTTTAATTTTTTATTGTTTCCAGGTGTTCCCCAGTTAGTTCTAATTATCTCATGTATTTAAGTCCCAGCCTTTGCATTCTGTGGTCGTCCGGTATTGAATATCGTCTCTCCCCGCTACGTGTTTGTTCCTGGCTCCTTGATGTTTATTAAAGTCTGTTCGTTTTGAAGTTTACTCCACGTCTTCTCGTTCAACTCTCTGTTCTGGCACAGGGCCAATTACCATCACCCCGTGGACCTCCCAGACACCACGGGTCTAAGCTGGAGGGAAGGGATCCTCCGGTGTCTGGAAAGCATCCGGCCCCGAGCCAGAACCAGCCCACCGTCAAGCCCGCCGGCCGCTCCGCCGTCAAGATCACCAGCCGTTCCTCAGGCAAGCCCACCGGCCATGCCGTTCACCCTTTACCAAAGGAGGAGGATGAGGAGGAAAAGACTGTTCTCAGCTCTCATCCTAGCCCCTGAGCCAGCTCTAGTGTCGGCTCCATCCCCCGAGTCTGCTTTATTGTCGGCTCCAGCCCCGGAGTCCACTCCATTGTCGGCTCCAGTCCCTGAGTCCGCTCCCGTGTCGGCTCCAGCCCCCGAGTTTAGCCCAGAGAGGGCTCTAGTACCCGAGTTTAGCCCAGAGAGAGCTCTAATCCCCGAGTTTAGCCCAGAGAGGGCTCCAGTTCCCGAGTTTAGCCCAGGGAGGGCTCCAGTCCCCAAATCAAACCCAGGGAGGACCACAGTACCCGAGTCAGGCCCACGGAGGGCCTTAGATGTTACTATTATCCCCAAGTATTTTGGGGGGGTTATAGGGCTCCGGCCGCAGAGGCCTCCCCGAACTGTCTGCTCCGCCATGGCCCCTGAGCACCCTACTCCGCCATGGTCTCCTGAACTCCCTGCTCCGCCATGGCCCCCCTGAGCTCCCTACTCCGCCATGTCCTCCTAGTCTGTCTGCTCCGCCATGGCTTCCTAGTCTGGCTGCTCCGCCATGGCTTCCGGAATGGGTAATGCTGAGAAGAGCGCCCACCCCCCCTCCCCATTGGCTGTGTCTCGTGTTCTCCTCCCCCACGTGCTCCATGACCCAGTTTTGCCTCATGTTTAATTGTTTATTGTTTCCAGGTGTTCCACAGTTAGTTCTAATTATCCCATGTATTTAAGTCCCAGCCTTTGTGTTCTGTGGTCGTCCGGTATTGAATGTCGTCTCTCCCTGCTACGTGTGTGTTCCTGGCTCCTTGAGGTTTATTAAGTTTGTTCGTTTTGAAGTTTACATCACGTCTCCTCATTCCTCACAGAAGTGGTTTGTGACAAAGTCATGGCTGGACACAATTTCATGTTCCTAGTCACCCTGGTGTGCTAAGAATATGTAAATATGAATGGGAATATACATCAGAGATATTTTACTCAGAAGAATTTCTAGGGGTCCCAATAATTGTGGAAGGAATTTAAGGAAATTTTATATAATTTTAATGAAATGAGAGAATGGGATTATAATCTTCAAGCCTACCTAAGTGATGTTTTGTGGCCGTGCCAGTGCTCTGGATCATGGATAAACGCTGGTAGAAGATGATGAGCATACGAGTCCTTAACCAGGGATGATCAACTTGGGGGCCCTTTGATAGTGGACACATAACAGAACAAGATTTGTAAGAGACAGATATGTGATATACTACAAAGATGCAGTTTGTCTGTATGTTCAAGACACACCTGGGAAGACATTTGCACGCAGATAGTGGCCCATCATATTATAGGATCTGTGCTCATCTGTGCAGCCTGAGCCTGTATCGGAGTAGTGAGGTGCACAAAGTGGAGGAACCTGTGGGTTGTGCACTCTGCACACCTGACATGCACATAAATACACACATAACGATCATGATATGAGTTCCATTTTAATTATAATCCTCATGCAACCGTAATTCAATTTTCTAAAATGATACATTTTGTGATTAGTTTTGTATATTGGACTACACAAGTTATTCGGTTCAGAACTGACCTGATTGCTGCTCTCTGTCCTCTTCTCTGATTTGCTGATGGTGTTCATCCTCTAATTTTACTAAGTATAATTTAGCAGCATCGTAATCAAAGTTGATGCAAATGATATAGACAAATGATGCAGATTCAAATTTCCAAGTAGGTTGGAATAAAACAGTTTGAAAACATACATGGCTTTTTTTTTTTACTGATCGGTATCGGCCCTCTTAAGCACGATCCATCGGTGATTCTTTAGCTGTCATTCCGGTGTCGTGCAATAGGTGGCGGTATCACTGATCTGTAATGTTGCTATGGGTTGCGTCTTGCTTTGGACTTGACTGATAAGACTGGCATTCGTGAACTTAATGCGTTCTAACCTTATCTCAACTTATCAAACAATACTTGTTTGATTTGTTTTTTTCATTGTTGTGTTTTCCATATATTAATATCATAATTAATAATTATAGTGATGTTTGAGGATCAAACTTACCCTAGTTTTTAAAAATACAATTCACCAAAAAAAAAAAATCACACTATGAAAAATTGTAAATAGCAACTATTGCAAATAGCAAAAATATCAAAACTGTATTATAACAAAATTATGGTTTTACAATATGGTTTTTAATAAATATGTTTAATATTTTCTAACTGTATTTAACACTTTAACAAACTGTGAGTATAGGCTAATTAAGACTTTCACATTTTAAGTTTATGCTTTTGGAAAGGGATTTTTTCTATCCCTATAATCAGGCTTATTAATTTGCATTTTAGGCTCATTTTGACTGCAAAGAATGCACTTTCTGCAAATATAATTGTGTAACTGGGCACATCCAACTTTTAAAACCTGGCAAAAGTAATCTGAGAGGACCAGCCAGCTGCATAACAAATATATCAAATAGACATGCCTTTAGACCAGACCCATGAAGAGGCAATAGCCCTCATCGTATGGGCTCTGATGTTGAGAGAGCATTTTGGTCCCTGGTTCGCATAAGCTGACAAGATAGCCTCCACTATCTAGTGAGAAAACCTCTGCTTAGATACTGCTCGTCTCTTAGTACAGCCACCGAAGCACACAAAGAGCTGGTCAGATGGTCAAAAGACGGCTGAGTGGTCGATATAAATCCTTAGCCCTGACTGGGCTAACGGCGCTCTGAGCCTCAGCATCACACAAGGTCGACGACTCGGAAGACAAAGCTCCCAAGCGCTTAACCGAGGCAAGGGCGAGAAGCAGTGCAGTTTTGAGAGAGCGCTCCCTCATAGCGACAGATTCCAAGGGCTTGAAGGGGGGTAGAGAGAGAGCTTTCAGAACCAGCACTAGGTCCCACGGCAGCACCAAAGGTGGGCGTGAAGGATATAATTTCACTCCCCTGAGAAATATGACCACCAGCATGTGCTTCCCGATCAATTACCCATCAACCGGGGAACAAAATGAAACAATAGTGCCCACATAAACCTTTAGCATTGATGGTAGACTCCTGTTATCCCACCTATGCTGCAGAAAATGTAGGACAACAACACGGGGCAACTCGCCAGGTCGATATCTCTATCACAGCACCATTTCACGAACACTCCCCATTTAACCTAGTAACACCTAGTAGAAGTGCACGAGACTCAGTGAGTGTGTCGAGCACTCAAGAAGGCAGGGCGCTTAGCCACTCTAAGACCCCCGAAGTAGCCAAACATTAAGGCTCCAGAGCTCCGGGCTGGGACAGTGAAAAGAACAGTGGGCAGTGAGTGTTCTCACTCATTGTAAACAGATCCACCTCTGCCCTCCCGAAGTGGTCCAAAATAATCAGAACTGAACTGGAATGCAGTCTCCACTCCCCATTAGGGATTCTGTTCCTTAAAAGCAGGTCCACTCCACAGTTTAGCAGACTGGGGATATGCGCTGCTCTGATGGAGAGTAGATGATGATTCGCCCATATTAGAAGACTCTCAGCCTGCTTGAAAAGGGCTCTGGAGTGCACGCCACCTTGGCGATTTATGTATGAAACCACAGACGTATTGTTGGAGTGAATCAGCACATGTCACTGTTCAGCTGTGGCAGAAAAGCCACTAGGGCTAAGGACACCGCATCCAGTTCCAAGCGGTTAATGTGCCACCTGCTCTGAGACTCTGACCACAGGCCTAAAGCCGGTACACCCTTGTGCACCGCTCCCCAGTCCGAGGTCGACACATCTGTCATGACCACAGTGCGTGCTGTCACTAATCCCAGGGGAACCCCACTGCTGAACATTTCTGAGTTGTGCCACAGCCTCAGAGCACAGCTGTGTGTGATCTTGATGCACATACTTCCTCGTGGTCCATGCTCTCCACAGAACTCAAGAGTTCAGCCACAACTGTAGCAGCCGCATATGCAGAAGACCCAGGTGGCAAACTGATGAAGCCGACGCCATAAGTCCCAGAAGCCTCTGAAATTTCCTCAAGGGAACAGACTGGCCCGGTCTGAAGCGGCACAGAGCTGATGAAATGGTCATTATGCTCTCTTGAGGCGGGCTTGCATCTCCACCGTTGTCAAAACACACAACCAGATATGTTATAGACTGACTCGGGGTGAACATGCTCTTCTGCATATTCCCACCCAAACCTAGGGACTCCAGACGTCTAAGCAGTGTGTCCGTATGACTGACAAGCACATCTCCTAAATGGGCTAAAATCATCAACCAATCGTCCAGATAGTTTAGAATGCGCATAACGCTCTGAGAGCGGAAAACGCCACATTTATGCACTTCAAGAATGTGTGCTGGGCTAAAGCCAGCCCAAACGGGAGCACTGAGTACGGGTGCATTTTGAGGCAGTGTCGGTGACTGAACCACGCCGTTGAAACGGTGTGGTCTGAGTATGAACTGGAGAGAATACCCATGCTCTATTATGTCCAGCACCCAGCACAAAACGCCTAGAATAGCTCTCTATGCATCTAGGAACTGACATAGCGGCCGAATCTCTCCGGTCACTATCACTATTTTTTTCAGCGAAAAAAAGACTGGCACCTTGCCCCAGCGGCCTCCAGTGAGCTCTCTCTTCCTCTTTGCCAGTCCATCAGGACGAAGGCTTAGCAGTGGGGGGTGGTCTGCTGTCACGGCAGGGTCTCCTCCTCTGTCCGTGGCGCCTTTTCCTGGATCCCATCCACTGCTTGCGGTGAACATCCCACTCATGTCGAGAAGCGGGGGAGGACGTGGCAGGCTGCTTAGCCGATCTCTGAGTGGAGCGGGCAGCCGAAGAGGAGCGTGATCTTGAATGATGGAATGATGGAACGCGTGCCGGGGCATCCGGTGACTCATCACCTTTGCACGCTCAACGACCGATTCCACAGCATCGCCGAAGAGGCCGGAGAGATGATTGTAAATTGAGGAGTGTCTTATGATCCAAGTCCTTCAGGTCAGCCATACATGCCTGTGAAGGACTACCATGAACCCCATGGAACGCTTGATGGCTTAGTGTGAAGTCTGTCGCCACTCGCAGATCTCTCACAGCATATATGTTGCCACTGTCCAGGGACTGCAGGAGCTTAGCCTGAAAGACCTGCATCACCGCCATCGCGTGCAACATGGATGCCACTTCACCCGCAGAAGCATACACCTTTTCAGCAAGGTGGGCAGTAAATCTGAATGGCTTAGAAGGCAGGCTGAGGTCTGTGCCAAGCATGGCCAAGGAAGGGCACAAATGCATGGCGATGGTCTCCTCGATGGGGGGCAACCATGGGCTTCTACGGCAAAAAAGACAGGGGGGGCAACGGCTCTCTTCGGCAAAAAAGACAGGGGAAAGAGGCGACGGGAGACCGAGTCGTCACCGTCACCCCAAGGGAGGGGAAGGCACGTAAGACCATGAGCGATGCCCCTTCGGGTCCTCAAAACACAGTCTGTCAAGTTAGCGCAGGGCACAGTCGGACTCAGAGAAGGCCGCCTCAGTTGAACTGGCATTATCCTATAAGGTTTCAGGATTTTGGAGAAGGGGAGGAGTTCCCACATCAAACGCTTCGCAATGCGAGTGAATGCTTGAAAGAGAACTGTTGATGCTACATAAAAATAGAGATGGTCCTCACTGCAGAACACAAGTCCAGGAGGCGTGGTTGGATGCAGATCCAACTCCTCCCACCTGACATATACCTAAATCTACCCGTTTCTACCCCCTAATCCCTAAACTCACCCATCTCCACCCCTAAACCTACCAATCTCCACCCATAGATGTGGATCCAACCACACCCCCTGGATCTTGTGTTCCGCAGTGAGGGGTTACTGTAAAAATATGCTGGGTTCAATTTGCCATGGTAAGTTTTGTTCCCCTCAAGCTTCTTTTATAAGACTCCGTAAGAACTTCAGCCAACAATATTTTCATAATATCAAATAGTGACTGGACAAATTTCCTAAAACCAAAGTGAATCAAACAGAATCAAGACTTTGGATAGTTAAAGTAAGAGGAGGTCTGTACCTTCCCACCGGCAGTTGGGCATATTTTGTTTGGTATGGGCGAAACTCTGCCTGCGATATTAATAAATCATTCTACAGAGTATCAGTGGTTACGAATCCTGACGGCATCATTAAAATCACACAAACATGGCAAAGCACCAGTTTGTTTACATAATTAAAGCTACCTGAAAAATAAAACAAGATGATACTGGTGAAAAAGGAAACTGTTATTAACATTAATAGAAACAACATAAGCCACAATGCTTGAGGCAACCACTTTATCTTTTTATTTCAAATTAAGCATACACTCATTACATATATTATGGCCACACATTTTAATTAATGTAATGAAACAGTAAAAAAAGTAAATAAAAGTAATAGTTTTCGATATTCATTCTATATATGTGTATATATACACAGAAACCTCTACCATCTCTGCTCTGTGTAAAAGTTGTTTCTTAGCGACTGATCTCCAACCCGTTTACTCACCAGAAAAAAAAAGAAAATAATAATCATAAAAATAAATGAAACAAAACCTTCACCATCACTATATAAAACACCGGTCAATGATCAGCAGCCAACATTAACTTGTCTTGGTTGCTTTCAATTTAGAATTGTTTTGCACCCATTCTCATTCAGTTCTGTGCTGAAGCCAACTTGAACAAATCTTTATTTCAACTCACAACTGCAGTTTTGGGGTTTTCTTTGAGTGGTGAAGGATTCTGGAGCATCAGAATGGCATCTGTGCAGAATTTTTTAGATTGTGCACAAGCCGCTCTATGTCGGAGCGAATCTCTTAGCTTGTGCCCTCACACGCTTTTCATAGTCCATCCTGTTTTGACTGCGAGAGAATGAGTGAGAGAGATAAGATCAATAGCCGCGTTTCCACTGTCGGGCCAATAGCAGGTGTGCTAGTGCGTGCCAGGGCCAGTCGCGTTTCCACTAGGTGCGTTTCCATTACAGATTTGCGCAAAACTTTGGCGATATTTTCTGAATGTCGATAAAAAAGTATTGCGAAATGACGGCGTTTCCATTAACCAATGTTATGCGGCTAAAACATAACCTTTTGCCTCTCGCGATAACTCATGGCAATGGATTTTGGTGGGATTTTGACGGATTTTGGCTATATTTATTCAAAGGAGGCTTATGCGTGTATCTTTACAGAAGCAGCAAAGAGAGCCGCTTCAGAAATGTGCGTGACGCGGCTGGAATAAACCACAGCCTGTATAAAAACATTAACACAAGCATTGAGTGGCCGTAATCAGCTTCAGTGGCCGTATCAGAGCCACACTGCACCGCAGACGTCTGCAGTGTAAATTGTCTAAGTATTAATAGTAGGGAAAGCCCCTTATACCGGAGTGCGGCCACTTATGAAGTATTTCTTGGAGGTTATAGTACACTGAAAAATGATCATATGACTTTTTACATACGCCATGTGACCTGTAAATGCGAAAAAGCCGTTTCCATTGCAGTTTTGCGAATTAATCCTTTTTCGCATTGCCTGAAAAACCACCTCATGCAAGCGTAAAAACTTTTTTGCGATATATGGACGTTTTTGCGAAATTGACGCGTTTCCATTAGGCGTATTTTCAATTCGCAATTTCAATTTGCGCAATTTGAAGGGTAATGGAAACGCGCCTACTGTCACTTCCAGGGCTTGATCGTGCCTCGTCGGGGCTTCCTCGGGGGCCAACGGCCAGGGATTTTCGGCCCGCCGAATACCTTGGGCCAAAGCGGGCCAGCTGGGACTAGAGGAGTGGTCATGAACAAAGGCGGAGTTTATCCGAGTTAGAGACGGTCGGCACCGCTGTTCATTTCCCATGTTTTCATATGAAGATACCAGCTAGCATCAACATTTAAGACATTTAAAACAATTTTAATGGCAAAACTCACTTTCAGACAACAGCGAGAGTCTGAATTAACTTATGATAACTTACTGAATTAACTTACGATTACCAGATGGGAATTCTGATCCCCGTAATGTATTATAGGCCTACGTGATGCAAAAGGCTGCATATGCTTACAATCGCTATAAGAACACATTATGATTATGAAAATACCAGAGACCGCTTGAAGAACTTAGACAAATTCATTGAGTTTCATCTGCTCGCTCTGAGGCACGAGTGATTTATTATATATGAAAATTATTATATTCAGTGGTTTCTCCTACTTTTCTTAGTGATATTTAGTGCCAGTTTATCAGGAAGTGACGATTTTGTTCTCTTGGACTCGTTGGATGGAAACGAGGTGTGTTAAGGGCGGATTTTACAGTAGCGCTGTTCCGACAGTGGAAACGCGGCTTGATTTTGGGCTCGCGGCTTGAGGTGCGAGGCCATTGGCCCAGCACGGTTCGTTGTTAGCCCTGGCACGCACTGGCCCGACAGTGGAAAAGAGGCTAATGTTGTGGGCATGGTATCAGCTGAAATAATAAAATCATATACAAAAGCGTGTAGGTGGAATTTGGCTGCCCTTACCAGTATATCGTATAGGCCTCCGCCTGCGCTGGGTCCTGAATGTTTGGCTCATTAAGGAGCTCCTGGATGCCCAACAAAATCTACAGCCACAACAACATAATGACATAAAAAACCCTACTGCTTATTGGGCCAAAATGTTTGTTCAAATGCCTAACCTTATGAGTTATACTGTGATCTTAACACATTCCTATCATAATGATGAAACTGTACACATTCAGAGGTTTGCATTCATTAAGTTGTTTTTATGAAATTAGTACTTTTATTCAGCAAGGATGCATTGAAATGATCAAAAGTGAAAGACATTTATAATGTCACAAAAAATTCTGCTAAAAATAAATGCTGTTCTTTTGAACTAAGATTTTCAAAGAATCCTGAAATATATATATCTCACGATTTACACAAAAAAATATTAGGCAGCACAACTGTTTTTTAGCATTGGTAATAAGAAATGTTCCTATCAGAAATACAGAAAAAAAACGTAATCTTGCAAAATGTTATTACAATATAAAATAATGGTTTCTATTTTAATATCCTTTCAAATATAATTTATTTCTGTGATGCGCAGCTGTATTTTCAGCATCATTACTCCAGAATAAAGTGTCACATGATCTTCAGAAATCATTCTAATATGCTGATTTATTATTAGAATTATCAATGTTGGCAACAGTTCTGCTGCCAAATATTTTTTTAGAAACTGTGATAATTTTTTTCAGGACTTTTTGATGAATAAAAAAATAACAGCATTTATTCAAAATATAAATCTTTTCTAACAATATCAGTCTTTACTGTCACTTTTTATCAATTTAAAACATCTTTGCTGAATGAAAGTGTTAATATCTTTCAAAAATAGAAAGAAAATAATCTGCTGACCCCAAACTTTTGAACGGTAGTGTATATTGTTAGAAAATATTTATATTTTAAATAAATGCTCTTCTTTTAAACTTTTTATTCATCAAAGAATCCTGAAAAAAAGTATCACAGGTTCCAAAAAAATATTAAGCAGCACAACAGTTTCCAGCACTGATAATAAATCAGCATATTAGAATGATTTCTGAAGGATCATGTGACAATCATTTCTGATACAAATGAGGCCTCAATTAAAACGCTAGTGATTGTGTTAGTCTTGATTCCAGTGAAATGGTGTAGTATGGGTCTAAGAAACCATTCAGCGTGGCGGTTTTCCTTTTCCCTCAGAGATCACATGTTCAGGTGCAGCTCAGAAGGTGAGCCACAGGTGACCCAGAAGGGCTTCTGCATGTCAACTCCAGCCTGCTGGAAGAGCTTCTTGAGTTCCTCCACGGGACGTTCTAGACCTGATGTCGAGTCCAGGAAGCTGGGAAAAGGCATGTTGATCGATCCAGGAATATGACCAGGCTCGGTGTCTGAGATAAAGAGAAATAAGCCAATGGCACTTTTGCATTTTTGATAAATAACATTTGTCTTACATTGGTACATAAAATCTTTGGTTGTTGTACCTTGCGTTATATATTCTATAAAAGTACCTCACAAATAACTTAGAAGTCTGTATGAATGTGGTTACAAAATGCAAGTATAGGCCTACTAATTATACAAAAGTATGTATGAAGCATGGCACTGTGTGACACTGCTGTCACAGCTTGTCATATGAACTACCATCTGCTGTATTACTGCAGAGAATTAAAAGGCTATCAATAGTTGAAAATGACTGAATACATACATTTCTACAAAGCGAAAAGGGGGAAACATGCATGAATTCCCAGACCTAAGACATTTGCTTTATCTGTCTTGGTTATTATAGTTAACTAAAATGAAAACCATAAAAAAAAAAACATTTTCATTACTTGAAATAAAATAAATGTTAACTGAAATAAAAGAAAATTTGTAAAGAATTATTTCAGCAACATATTTCTCATTTCTGTTTAGTTTAACTTGAAATAAATTAATAAAGTAAACAACTAAAACTAATAAATATAAATGTTGACAAAAAAATAGTTATTAATTTGTAATTTTGTATATGTGTTGCTTAAACTGTATGGTCTGTACTCATACTGTATTACTGCAGAGAATTAAAAGGCTATCAGGTATTGTATGGACAAAATTTGTGCAAAGTGCTAAGTCTTTGCAAAAGAGTAAAAGGGGTAACATGCATGGATACATTTCCTGACCTAAGACATCATAACTAGTCAATGTTACCCTGTTTTACAGAGAAATTGTGTAACAGGTTATGACGGCTAACAATCCATACTCACTTTCCCTTGGCTCTGGTTCAACCCCACGAAATCTTCCATTGGCTCTGGCGTCGACTACTTGAAATTCATTGGTTTTAATATTGTTCAAATGTCTTCATAAGTTTTTACCCAGGACTTGTTAAAGGACGCCCTGAACTCGGCGCACACTGGTTTACTATATTGCTCGGTAACCGGATGACCCCAGGTTTCTTTGACAGTGGCCTTCAGCTCATCTGCATTTTTTGGTCTTTTGTTTCTCATGTTCCTCTTGACAATACCCCATAGATTCTCTATGGGGTTCAGGTCTGGTGAGTTTGCTGGCCAGTGAAGCACACCAACACCATGGTCATTTAACCAACTTTTGGTGCTTTTGGCAGTGTGGGCAGGTGCCAAATCCTGCTGGAAAATGAAATCAGCATCTTCAAAAAGCTGGTCAGCAGAAGGAAGCATGAAGTGCTCCAAAATTTCTTGGTAAACAGGTGCAGTGACGTTGGTTTTCAAAAAACACAATGGACCAACACCAGCAGATGACATTACACCCCAAATCATCACAGACTGTGGAAACTTAACACTGGACTTCAAGCAACTTGGGATATGAGCTTCTCCACCCTTCCTCCAGACTCTAGGACCCTAATTTCCAAATGAAATACAAAACTTGCTCTCATCTGAAAAGAAGACTTTGGACCACTGGGCAACAGTCCAGTTCTTCTTCTCCTTACCCCAGGTAAGATGCCTCTGACATTGTCTGTGGTTCAGGAGTGGCTTAACAAGAGGAATACGACAACTGTAGCCAAATTCCTTGACACGTCTGTGTGCGGTGGCTCTTGATGCCTTGACCCCAGCCTCAGTCCATTCCTTGTGAAGTTCACTCAAATTCTTGAATCGATTTTGCTTGACAATCCTCATAAGGCTGCGGTTCTCTCGGTTGGTTGTGCATCTTTTTCTTCCACACTTTTTCCTTCCACTCAACTTTCTGTTAACATGCTTGGATACAGCACTCTGTGAACAGCCAGCTTCTTTGGCAATGAATGTTTGTGGCTTACCCTCCTTGTGAAGGGTGTCAATGATTGTCTTCTGGACAACTGTCAGATCAGCAGTCTTCCCCATGATTGTGTAGCTTAGTGAACCAAACTGAGAGACCATTTTGAAGGCTCAGGAAACCTTTGCAGGTGTTTTGAGTTGATTAGCTGATTGGCATGTCACCATATTCTAATTTGTTGAGATAGTGAATTGGTGGGGTTTTGTTAAAAGTGAGCCAAAATCATCACAATTAAAAGAACCAAAGACTTAAACTACTTCAGTCTGTGTGCATTGAATTTATTTAATACATGAGTTTCACAATTTGAGTTGAATTACTGAAATGAACTTTTCCACGACATTCTAATTTATTGAGATGCACCTGTAGTGTGCGAACTCGCCCTCGCGAGGCAGCATGTGATCAAACTTGGAGCTTTTGTCACAACACTCGTCGATGTCGAAAAACGAGGCTTCGGGAATGTGAGCTTTTTCAAACTCGGCCCTGGGATTGCGTTTCATTTTAGGTAGATACCAAGATGCATCTAATATCCGCAGATTTGGGCCCACTCGGTTGCTTTTGACAGCGTCCGCGAGCCATCGCGCCGCTACGAGAGCTCGAGCTTGAGCAGCCATGTCTCTCTCACGCTCCTCTTCAGTAACGTTAGTCGATGTTGCAAATAGCAAGCAATGAATCACAGCTCACATTTTACGTCGGAGTTTGTGGTCCGGAAAAGGGAAAATATCAATAATTTGTTCCTTGCTTATTCAAAATCAGATTTACAGTTAATTTTGTCAGTTCTTTTAGGTTCGACACATGCGCTATAGAGAACCGCTATATAGGTACAACAAAAGCGCTCTTTAGAGCCGCAAGGGGGTATAGCTCAGTGGTAGAGCATTTGACTGCAGATCAAGAGGTCCCCGGTTCAAATCCGGGTGCCCCCTGCTTATGTAGCTTTTTTTTCTGTTTTGCTTTTTAGAGTAGATTGTACAAAAATGGTATTTTAATGGCTATGTTCTCTTTTGATACCATTGAACGTGATTCTGATGTATGCCTTATAGATTGCAATGCTATTCAGTAAAGAAGCACTTATGATACAGATTGCGTATAGGCATAGATTTAGGGGGCAGGTTTGTACGTTTTTTTTTGACAGATACATGATTGGATGTGACCGTTTATTCCATTCCAAACATAAATAGCCTTCTTTTCTAAACAGTATGGAAATGCATGAGAAATTCATACATATAAATATCGAGGGGTGAGAAAAGAAGGCGTAAGGGGCATTTCACCAACTTTACAGGAGGGCCAAAACAAAAATTTACCATAGTTTGATCTGACTTTGTGCACTGATTTCAATCGTTTATAATAAAAATTTGTACACTCATGGATACTTCATAGTATACTACTTTTGCCAGTAGAAAGAGCTCATCAAGAGCTTTCATTTGATATATATATATATATATCTCCATTTCACCAAAAATGTCACTTACGCCCTTCTGGTTCTCACACCTCAAATAATCAATGATGGAAATAATAGAATAGGAGTCATGTAAGTGATGTTTTAATAGGTGCAAATAGTGCAAGGTTTCTGAAATCATTTAACCGAGTCACTTAAATGTCTGCATTGTAATGAATAGATGATGACATATAACATCATCTAGCTTTTCCAAAAGCCATCTGTTTCATTCATATGATTCTCAGTTTAGCTGTGTCATGTGCAAATATCTTACCTGGAAGTAGAAATTATTGCTTTGTTTGTTATACTGTACATACTGCCCCTATGTGACTTGTTTGAGTTGGAGAAAGAGGCACTGTTTTCTTTATCTGAGTGTTGTTGCCAGTTTGTGAGACTTTTTTAGTAGCTTGTCACAAGGGA